TAATCATACACATTCGGAGTCAGTGACTCAATTTGTTTTTGTAATCATACACATTCGGAGTCAGTGACTAATTTGTTTTTGTTAATCATACACATTCGGAGTCGGTGACTCAATTTGTTTTTGTAATCATGCACATTCGGAGTCAGTGACTAATTTGTTTTTGTTAATCATACACATTCGGAGTCGGTGACTCAATTTGTTTTTGTAATCATACACATTCGGAGTCGGTGACTCAATTTGTTTTTGTAATCATACACATTCGGAGTCAGTGACTCAATTTTTGTGTGTAATCATACACATTCGGAGTCAGTGACTCAATTTGTTTTTGTAATCATACACATTCGGAGTCAGTGACTCAATTTGTTTTTGTAATCATACACATTCGGAGTCAGTGACTAATTTGTTTTTGTTAATCATACACATTCGGAGTCGGTGACTCAATTTGTTTTTGTAATCATACACATTCGGAGTCAGTGACTAATTTGTTTTTGTTAATCATACACATTCGGAGTCGGTGACTCAATTTGTTTTTGTATTCATACACATTCGGAGTCGGTGACTCATTTTGTTTTTGTAATCATACACATTCGGAGTCAGTGACTCAATTTTTTTTTTAATCATGCACATTCGGAGTCAGTGACTCAATTTGTTTTTGCAATCATACACATTCTGAGTCAGTGACTTATTTTTTTTGTTCTGACCCAACAGCCGTCATAGAAAGTTGCCTTCATCCGTCACAAGGATGGGTGGGGCAAGGGCAACAACTCTCAGACCACCCACGTCTGATGGATGGCCGGACTCTGTCGCATAGCACGCGCTCATGCGTCATAGATGACTAGCTACGTCTATCAAGGTACCGGTACTGAATGTGCTAGTATTGGGGGAGTGGGGGGTGCATTTCTCAGCAGTCGATAAAAAACAAACCCAAAATGTTATATCTCATCTGAGGGGAATGCCTATGTATGTGTGTGGGGGGGGGAGTGTACGGGGAAGTGTGTGGGGGGGGTGTGGGAGATGTGTAATTGGGGGAGTGGGGGGTGCATTTCTCAGCAGTCGATAAAAAACAAACCCAAAATGTTATATCTCATCTGAGGGGAATGCCTATGTATGTGTGTGGGGGGGGGAGTGTACGGGGAAGTGTGTGTGGGGTGTGTGGGAGATGTGTATGTGGGGATGTGTGTGTGGGGGGGATAGCCCACTTTTTATGCTTGTTTTTCTTCTGCTATTAGGGGACGCAAATTACGTCACGCTAAAGGGGGAGGGGGGAGAATTTGTGACACTTTGTGACAGGGAGGAGTGGGGGAGGTTAAATAAAAATCACACAGTTTAAAAAAAAAATCTAAATTATTCAAATTGGGGGATGACTTCATCACAGATTGGCAAAATTCAACATTATGAATATAATAATAGAAAGAAACATTACGTCATGTACGGACTGGTAGAAATAGATTTATTTTGGAATATATTGAATTCAGGGAGTATACAACAATTACAGTCAAATAGACATCATGACTCTAGTTACAGTCAAATAGACATCATGACTCTAGTTAGAGTCAACAAATGGAATGAACCCAAGTCTGACCCTATTCTTCAGTTTAATATGACCAGCAAATTCTGCAGTGGGAACTTGACTATAAAGTATTTAAATGAAATAGCAAAACAAGGTACTGTATATACTCGCTTATAACATGCTAGTATATAAGCCTATATCGCATATAAGCCGACCACCTAAAACTGCTTTAAAATGGCCAGATTTTGCAAAAACCTGCATATAAGCCAACCATACAATTGTCTAATTTTACTCCATAATTTTGGTTCAGAGAAGTTTGTTACCGGTACTGTAAAGATGTCAAATGCTTAATTTTATGTTACATACCAAGTTTGTTTACCTTTTGGAATGACACAAAAACATGTTCTGCTCTTTCCACATTGTTTGCTATAATAATATCTGAACTTCCGCTCATAAGTTGTTTACAACTAATGATTAACGAAGTATATATTTAGAAAAAATTATAAATTTTGATATGAATGAAGACGAAAATTCCTTTGTTGTGTTTTATTTTTTAACAAAAAACGATCACATTTCTGTTTATAATTTACCGTAGTGTTCTTACAAATAATTAGAAACCTTCAAAATCATTGTCACTATCACCCTCATCGTCAGACTCCCCAAACAGCTTTCTCAATTCCTCTTCTGTGTACTGAACGTTGTCATCATCCTGCAGTACCAGTACTTCATTTGCATCCTCCAGTTCTGCATCATCTTCGCTGTCTGGAAAATTGGCATTAGTGTCTGTTCTTGTGTCCATTTTGTTTTATGCGCATATAAGCCGACCCCCCGATTTCAGTATTGTATTTTATAGTTCTAAATTCAGCTTTTATGCGAGTATATATGGTATGCTGAAGCTTCAATTAAAGGACAGGACAATAAGATTTGAACGTTTCGGCATAGAGCCTTCTTCAGCACACAGGACAAATGAAATTATGACAAGGAACAAAGCACAGTAAACAACTCAAGAAATATCCATTTTTGCTATTTCATTTACTTAGCTTGAATGCAGTCCTTTAATTGCTATAAAGTATTTAGTAGTCTTCCCAGAGCAAGTCTCACATCATTTAAGTCCTCACAGTGCTGGCCGATAACACTCAGACTTAAAAGAATGAAGAATTTGTTGAAACTGAACTAAAGACAAAGGATATTAATCATTAAATTATTGCTCATTCAGATGTTGCTGCAATTTGACACACATATTTGAGCAATACAGAGACACTCAAATATGTGGAGTCGCCTCTAAAATCAACATTAAAATAAAAAAAAATTAATGGCTAAATGTAAAAGTCTTTTCCGTGATTTTTTTCCTTGTAACTTTTTTTCGTTAAATAATTTCTAAAAACACTGTTATTCCTAGCACTTCTTTTTATGACATCACCAGGTTACTTTTGGAGGAGAATGGGTTCAACAGTAATCCAGATATAAAAAATAATTAATTCTGTGAGCAAAACATTTTAATTGAAACAATTATTCCATTAAATTGTATAACTTCCATCAACACACTTCACAATTGATTCATTGAATTTCATACATTCCGTTTATGTCACAATTTATTCAATAGATTTGTTACATTCCATGAACACATTTTAAAATTAAAAAGTCACATTAAATATTAATTAATACTTTCCCTTGGTACGTAATCATATTTTAGTAATTTCCCTTAGCTCGTAATCATATTTTAATATTTTCCTTAGCAAATATTCTTAGGTTTTCAGTTCATAACCTTTACAAAAAAATAGATCTATAATTCCGCAAGGAAAGGCATCTAAGACGGAGCAATTTATTTGGTTTCATCAAGGCGCTAGGGTGTGAGTGAAACATAAGCTTGGAAACCAGTGCAGTGTCACTCTTTAGTCCTTATGGAAAACTCTGCATTATGGCTATAGTATTTGTCCCTTATGGAAACCACTGAATTATGGCTATAACATTCGTCCGGTACCTTTCATGTGAGGCATTCCTAGAATGAACTCACCAACCCCAATGATTGAATTTGATTCTGCTGTGTATTTTACTTTTTATGAATGGCCACCACAACGACAGTTACGTTGTCTCCACTCAACCTCAGCACCGCAGAGTTCGCCAGCTTGCTGCACACCGAGTCGAATTTCATGTCTTCCTCTGATCGTTTGCCACTGGCCTGGATGGATTTGTCCTGGACAAAGAGAAGCCATCATTCCGTTAATAAATAGAGTTACATTTTAAGGATACCATAATGACTCCAGCACCTTGTTCATTTATTTCATTAATTCATAGACCAACTACTGACTGACCATCTAAGTAACATCATAGACCAACTCATGACTGACTATCTCAGTAACCTCACACAAAATCCCAGTCCAGCTAACAAATAATCCATTGACTCTCTCATTAATGATCCATCCTCAAACATACCTCCAGTATTTTGTTGACATATTGAATGCTTTCATCTATGCTGTAACTTTTCCACAGGCCGTCACAAGCAATCATGAGATACCTGAAGATAGAAACTATTAATTACAACAGCTTAACAAGGATTTTGACCAAGTTAGAAGACAGAAAATATGAATCGCAACAGCTTGACAAAAATATTGAGCAAGTTTGAATCTGCTAACATTTGGGATCAAGGTTTGCACAAATTTCTATGAATTACATCCCTTAAAAATACTGCAAATTTATTGGTGGAATTTTTAAAACTTTTTTCAGGAGCTTGAAATGTACCAATAAGAGTTTTGGAATCTGCAGATTGACTTAAATGTAATCCCATTAACAAGATACAACAAGCTTAAATTTTAACTTTATTTGTAGATGTTAAGTGTACAATACCTTTTACATAAAATTATTACTTAAAATAATTCTTTTTATTATTACAAATATTAATGATTTTTTTTACATATTTGTAATGGAAGCAATATGACGTGCTGTCACCAAATCTTCAAAAACCAATGATGAAGTAACGGAATTATGACAAAGTATTTTAGAGTAAAAAGGATCTCTGTTCCTAACATCTTTTTATTTTGGGGAAAGACAAAGAATTTTGAACTTGAGCTATAAAAGTTACTCTCATGGTCTCATTGACTTTACTGATTTTACATATTGACACCTAATAGCACAACTGGTGTTTTTCTAAGTTCCTGAATCACAAAATATTTATGTCAATACCCATATGGAACATTATTTTGTTTTGAGAACATGTAAGTAAAAAGGAAAGGCACGAACTTCTATCAGTCTATAATAGTGAACCTAGGTTGTGCTTTTTAGTGTGAAACTTAACTGTGACATTAAAAAGAACAAAACTGACTAATTTCAAGCCAAATGTTTCCTGTTAAGTTAACCCACCTGTCATGCTCTGTCAGCTGACATTTCTTGATGTCAGGTATGCAAGTGACCCCATGGTTCTTGTAAGGTCCGTCCCCTATTGACCGGGCCACTTCTAGGACTCCCATCACACGTCCTTCCCTACAGCATTAAACAAAGCACCAAGCGAACTATTATTAAATAACTTAGGAAAGTTTTTTGGTGTCTGTTACAGAGAACTTGTTTACATCATATTTCTTGTGCGTGCCCTCTGATTGACCCCGCATGAGACGCTGTGTTCACAAAGGGGCGTGGCTTAGGCCTTTGAAGTATCCTTGTATACACCGCCAGCCACTAAAAATAATTAATCTGTTCCAAATAGTATTTGGTAGAATGATTGGGATTTTTCTCGAAATGTCTCGAAGGCAGGGCTTGGGCGTCGGTAGACCCACCTATATAAGGGATTGACAGGCACGGACGAGGGACGGAGATTTTCCGATAGATTTTCTTAACATTACGAGGCGTGTTTTATTCTTTGTGTATTTGTGTGCTCCTACTTATATGTGTTTATTTCGCATTATTTATTGGCATCATTATTTCTAATTGTATTAACTGTGTAATGCTCGTCCCGGATATAGCGGACTCTATATTATTATTTTTCTCAAGACCCCAATTCTAACAAATTGGGGGCATCGTCCGCGATAACCGAATCCATATTTTATTCTCATTAGACCCCAATTTTAACAAATTGTGTTCTTTTCCGAGGATAATTTTAATCCATAATTTTTATTACACCAATAATAAATTGAGTGTTTTTCTGTGGATTTTGACCCACTGTTTACTTTTATACACTCAAACTAATTTGAGTTCACGATACCATTTTACGACACCAACAACAGAGCTGGTTACAATTTTTTCATTAGTGTGTGCACTAAGCTTAAATTTTTATAAAAAATCATTGTTATATTTTGCCTGTGTCAAAATGGATTTTGATATTGAAAACCCATCAGTAGAGGCATTAGACAAATGTTCTAGGAAGGAGCTATTTTCCATTGCTAAAGCTCTAGAAATAAATGTAGCTCATTCGGCCGTAAAAAAGACCATACGAGACATGATCATCGTTCACTTTGTGGATGAAGACATGTTATCTGAAGATGAACTGGCCTCAGTCACACAACCGACTGATCCAAGTATGGAGCTCCAACTAAAGCTCAAACAAATGGAACTAGATGCCCAGAGAGAAAAAGAACGTGAGCTTAAACAGCTGGAGCTAGATAAAGAACGTGAGCTTAAACAGCTGGAGCTGGAAGCACAGAAAGAGCTACAAATCAAATTAAAAGAAATGGAAATAACAGCCAATTTGGGAGCAATGGAAAATAGACTCACGGCTCCAGCCGGTCAAGGTTGCGATGCAATTAAATTTGCAAAAGTAATCCCTAAATTTACAGAAAAAGAGGTTGACCAATATTTTGCGCAGTTTGAGATAACTGCCCAAAATTTTAAAATTCCTGAAACTATGTGGTCCACCTTACTTCAACCAGCCTTGACCGGAAGGGCATCTGAAGTCTTTGTGTCCCTGAATGCGGAACAGCGCGGGGACTATAACCTAGTAAAATCATTAATACTTAAGGCTTATGAATGTGTCCCCGAAGCATACCGTAAAAAGTTTAGGGAACTGTGGAAACGTGATGGCCAGACTCATGTTGAGTTCCTCCGGGAAAAGGAACGGCTCCTGGACAAGTGGCTGCACGCAACCAACACCGAGACAGACTTCAAGAAATTCAAGAACCTCATTCTGATGGAGGAGTTCAAGAACTGTGTTCGTACTGAAGTGCGAATACATATTGCAGACCGTGGCGAAGGTGACGCACATACGGCAGCAGTGTTAGCCGACGACTTCACCATCTCACATCAACTTTCCAAGAATCCATCTGACACCAAAAATGACAGGCACAATAAGACAGCTGTATCAACTTACAGTAAACCTCCACAAAAACCATTCAAGCCCGGTACGAAAGAAATTGGTGCAAAAGACACATGTGCCTACTGTAAAAAAGAAGGACATACGAGGGATGATTGCTGGAAACTCAAGAAGAAAACTGAGAAGACCACACATCCTGGTACACAACACAAAGTCTCCGCTTGTACGTCTCGTCATACATCTGGAAACACATTTTCAAAATTCAAGAGTTTTTGCTCTCCAGATGTCCATACAAACTTCAAAGAGGTTTGTCACGACTCATCAAAGAGTTTCAAAATGAACAATAAGGCTAGTTTTACTGACTCCAGCCAAGTTCCTGCTTCGACTGCGAGTTTTATGAGCTTGTCGCCAAGATCCTTTTGCTCCAAGAAGAGGTCTACCTCCAGAGGGCGTTTTACTGAGGACTTGTGTGCAAGTTTTGACGACTCTACCCAGAGTTTTACTTCCTCTACCCTAGCCGAATGTTCTCAAGACTCCAACAAGAGTTTACCTACCAAGGTCAAAAATTCTACATCAGAAACTACTGATGTCATACAAGACTTCATGCCTTTCATATCGGAAGGATTCGTATCACTGCCAGGTGATTTTTCCAGTCTACAACCAATCAAAATTTTACGAGATACAGGTGCTTCACAGTCCTTACTACTTGAGGGTATACTTCCCTTGTCTGAATCTACTGCTACTGGGAGCAACATCCTGTTACGAGGTGTAGAGCTTGGATGCATAGATGTACCTTTACATCTCATCAACCTAAAATCAGACTTAGTCTCCGGACCTGTGGTTGTGGGTGTCCGACCAACATTACCGTTGGACGGCATCTCGTTGCTGCTAGGCAATGACTTAGCTGGTGGGAAGGTGATAGCCGAGCCCATCGTTACTCATGAACCTTGTTTAAATGAAAATCAAGAAGAAGATCAAGAATTGTATCCAGCATGTGCTGTGACAAGGGCCATGAGTTCCAAGATCTCCACAAAAGAGATTTCACAAAAAGGCAATAAAATTCTTCCTGAAATTGACCTGGGAAAAACATTTTTTGCAAGTCTAAATGAAGAGGATAGTAATTACAAGACTCCAACTCGAATGCAACTTATTGAAGAACAGAAGAGTGATCCAGAAATAGTCAAACTTCGAGAGAACGCTTTGACCCAAGAAGAAGCTGAACAATTCCCTATATGTTATTACCTTCAAGATGACATACTTTTGAGGAAATGGCGACCTCCAGACGCAAATGCTGATGAAGAATGGAGGATAGTTCATCAAATAGTAGTTCCTACCCCATTCCGGAACGAAGTCCTGAACTTAGCCCATGACTCACCACTTTCAGGTCATTTGGGAGTAAAGAAGACATATCACAAAATCACGTCGCACTTCTTTTGGCCCAAAATCAAGAAAGATGTGGTTGAATACTGCAGATCATGTCATACTTGTCAGGTTGTAGGGAAACCAAATCAGAAGATACCAGCAGCTCCTCTTCAACCCATTCCAGCATTCGAAGAACCTTTCAGTCGCGTTATTATAGACTGCGTTGGACCTCTGCCAAAGACAAAATCAGGTCACCAATACTTGCTGACAATCATGTGTGCGTCAACAAGGTTCCCAGAAGCTATTCCTCTTCGCAATATCAAGACTCCGAACATCGTCAAAGCCTTGACGAAGTTTTTTACATTGTTTGGTCTTCCGAAGTCTGTACAGTCTGACCAAGGAACCAACTTCAAGGCTGGAATATTCAAACAAGTGATGAACCAGTTGGGCATAGAACACTGCTTGTCGAGTGCATATCATCCTGAGTCACAGGGAGCACTTGAGCGATTCCATCAGACGTTGAAGAACATGATGAGAACCTACTGCCTAGAACAAGAGAAAGACTGGGATGAAGGCATCAACATGCTACTGTTCGCCGCAAGAGAAGCAGTTCAAGAATCACTTGGATTCAGCCCCTTCGAACTGGTGTTTGGCCACACGGTTCGCGGTCCCCTTAAACTTTTAAAAGACACGTGGATGTCATCGGCACCCACGGAAGGACTTCTTGACTATGTCCAAAAATTTAAAACTAAACTTTTTAATGCCGTTAATTTGGCTAAAACACATTTAAAAGATTCACAATCTAAAATGAAAGTTTGGTATGACAAAAAGTCAAAATTCAGACAGTTTGCTTCAGGGGACAAAGTGCTTGTGCTTTTGCCGATACCAGGGCAAGCACTACAAGCTAGATATTTTGGTCCTTATGTTGTTGAGTCCAAAATCAATGATTTAAATTACATTGTGTTAACACCAGATCGTAAAAGAAAGAAACAGTTATGTCACATTAACATGTTAAAAGAATATTTTGATAGAAAATGTGATGATCATTGTCCATCCTCAGAAACAAATGTTAACACAATCTCAACTGTAACTTCAGTACTTAAAGAAAATGTTACTGAAACCTTTGATAGTGTCCCAGAAAAAGTTGGTAATTATAAACTTAAAAATTCAGAAATATTGGCCAACTTAGATAAGAAACTAGGACATTTGTCATTGTCAGAGAAGGATGTTGTTAAGTCTGTTATTGCAGATTTTGTTTTACTCTTCCCTGATGTACCTAATAAAACCAACATTGCTGTACATGATGTTGACATTGGCAATGCAGTTCCGGTCAAGCAACACCCCTATAGGGTCAATCCGGAAAAACTTGAAATAATCCGGTCTGAAATAAAATACATGCTTGAAAATGATATAATTGAACCAAGCTCTAGTAACTGGAGTTCACCATGTATTTTAGTCCCAAAGCCTGACAAAAGTTACAGGTTTTGTACTGACTTCAGGAAAGTGAATGCATTCACAAAGACTGATTCCTTTCCGATTCCAAGGATAGACGATCTTATAGATCGAATAGGTGATGCCAAATATGTAACCAAGATAGACTTACTATCAGGTTATTGGCAGGTTCCTCTATCTGACAGAGCAAAAGAAATCTCTGCTTTTTGTACTCCAGATGGTTTATATCAATATAAAGTAATGCCGTTTGGAATGAAAAATGCCCCAGCTACATTCCAACGTCTTGTAAATAACATTATTGCTGACCAGGAAAATTGCAGCGCCTATATTGATGATGTAATTATTTACAGTCAAGATTTTTCAACTCATGTAAACCAATTAAGATCTCTGTTTAAAAAATTTTTGCAGGCAAATGTAACTGTAAATTTAAATAAATGTGAATTTTGTCATGCAACTGTGGAATATTTAGGTCACATAGTGGGTCAAGGTCATGTAAAGCCTGTTCAAGCTAAGATAAATGCTATTGTATCACTTCCACCACCCACTACTAGAAAACAGTTAATGAGATTTTTGGGAATGGCAGGTTATTATAGAAAATTTTGCAAAAATTTCTCAGTTATTGCTTCTCCTTTAAGTAATATGTTAAAGAAAAATGCAAAATTTCATTGGTCAGATGCTTGTCAGGAAGCATTCGAAAACATTAAAAATATACTTGCTAATGCTCCTGTTCTCATTGCACCAGACTTTAACAAACAGTTTAAATTAGCTGTAGATGCCAGTGATGTTGGCATTGGTGCAGTTCTTTTTCAAGAAGATGACCACAATGTAGATCATCCTGTCTCTTATTTCTCAAAGAAATTCAACTCACATCAGAAAAACTATTCCACTGTAGAAAAGGAATGTTTAGGTTTAATTCTTGCTCTCCAACAATTTGATTTTTATGTCAGTTGTTCTTTACATTCAGTACTTGTTTTTACTGATCACAATCCTTTAACATTTTTGAATAAGATGGTCTCCAAAAATCAAAGATTGTTAAGATGGAGCCTATTTTTACAAGAATATAATTTGGACATCAAACATATTAAAGGCAAAGACAATGTCATTGCAGATACTTTGTCCAGAAATTAATTTTCACTTATGTTATTGTTTATAAGCTGTTAAGAAGTTTTTTGTCAAATATTTTGAGAGTAAGAAATGTACTTTCTTCAATTTTAATGGAAAAAGAATTCCATTTTTGAACAATGAAATTTTTTTCTTTTAAGAGGGGAGGTGTTATAGAGAGCTTGTTTACATCATATTTCTCGTGCGTGCCCTCTGATTGACCCCGCATGAGACGCTGTGTTCACAAAGGGGTGTGGCTTAGGCCTTTGAAGTATCTTGTTGACGCCGCCAACGAATAAAAATAATTAATCTGTTCCAAATAGTATTTGGTAGAATGATTGGGATTTTTCTCGAAATGTCTCGAAGGCAGGGCTTGGGCGTCGGTAGACCCACCTATATAAGGGATTGACAGGCACGGACGAGGGACGGAGATTTTCTTATAGATTCTCTTAACATTACGAGGCGTGTTTTATTCTTTGTGTATTTGTGTGCTCCTACTTATATGTGTTTATTTCGCATTATTTATTGGCATCATTATTTCTAATTGTATTAACTGTGTACCGGTACGACATCTGCCATACTGTAAGTTGAAGATTGTAATTTTATTTTATTTTATTTTGTAATTATCTTAAGACATAATAAATCTTAATTAATTGTAACTAGAAACTGTTTTGGGTCGTATCTTTAATATTGTTGATTATATGGTATCGTCCTTTGTTAGGCACTGTTTACAACGAGCCAATTAAAATTAAAATAGGAGATTAATTTCTCCCAATACAAGTCAGTGCGTAACAGTGTCCATGAAAAAAAACACAAAAACTTTCAAACTAAGATTCTAATTTTTAAGCAAGACAAAAATGTTAAGCGGAAACAAAAAAATCTTAAAATACGAAAGTGATCTACATATCTATCATTTGGGAAAACACAATTTAACATTTTTCCTATTCAGCAGAAGACGTGTCAACAAGTCTTCAGTTATCTTTTAGGGCTGATGTTAGTAGTTTTTGTTTTACTTCAAATATTTACTGGCCCCAAGAATAGCAAACCTTATCTTGGCTTAGTCATCAGAGAAATTTACTTAAAAGGGTTTTTCTAAAAAATGAATAAATAATTCACCTGACATTTCCACCAGCTTTCTGTATTCTCATTCTCTCCTCATACAACGAGGGACTGTGATCTGTCGTGAGTGGAATACCAACACACTTCTGTTCCACATCTTTGTATCTGCATAACACTGCCTGGCATGGACAGAAAATGGTTTATAGCAGATTCTCAATTAGTAGCTCTTAATGAGATATTTAAACAAGATTTACCAGACTACTAACCATCATCCACAAAGGATATGTAGAAAAAAATTATATGATCCAATGTACCCTTGTTTTATAAGTCAAGCTTACACACCTTACTGTCTCCCAGATTTGCTATGTAAAGAGTGTCATTAACAGCTAACACAACAACCGCGGTTGTTCCATCTTTCCAGGACGGTTTACTGAGAGGCAGAATTTAAAAAAATATAAGTCGAAAGAGAAAAATTAAACATCATAATGTTATTAAAAAGAAATAGAAAGATAAATATAGTTCTATAAAAAGATCAAAGAACCAAATTAGTTTGTTAATTAAGATGCAACTAATCAAAAAAATGTTTTACCATATTATAAATTAAAAATAATAATTAAATTATTAACTGTTATATGAAAAAAAACAAAAAAAAACTTTCTTTTGTTTACAATACTAAAATAAGCATTCTAACAATTAATTTGAAACAATTTACCAATAACAATCAGTAGGCTATAATTAAAAGCCTTTCAGAAGATTTATTTTAAACATAAATAAATAATAAAATTAAAAATGAAGTAATTGAAAATCTATTTTTTAAAAATAAATAAAATTACTTCCTGGTAGCTTCTTTCAAAAAGTCTTCATCTGTTTTTTTAAAAGCCTCAATGAAAATTTTCTTGATCTCTTTCTCAACATGGGTGATGTCCCCTGAAACCGGATTGTAAAAAAAAAAAAAAAATAAGATACCATCAAAATTCATTTATGACAAGCAAAATTATTTTCTTTATGTTAACAAAATTAAGTGCTTAAAGAATGTAAGTAATTAACACACAAAAAGTGCTTATGGTGGTCTGAATAAAAAAAGTAATTAAAAAATAGCAACTTTAGAAAAGTTATATTACTGGGGTATTTAAAAAATTTTTAAAAAATTATTATTTGATGCTTAACATCTTGTCTTTGTCATAAACTAATTAAAAAAACAGCACCAGTGTTTAACAAAATACAACAGCTGTTAAGAATTCAATGAAAGTGGCCACATTAATTTTTTGAAAATAGCCCATTTGGTAAGTTTAAGGAGAGGGTCGACAAGAATTACCCTTAGGGAATTTATCACGTAGATTATTGTGCAAATGCTGGGATGCAAACCTTGAAGCTCTGACACCGCCATGTCCATCGAAGACAGCATACAAGGCTAGACGATGTCTGGAAAAATTTGTAAAAATGCATTAAGGAGATTAATTAACCCTCCCCCATCATAGTATTTTTTAAAGATAAATCTTTGGGTGAATGTTCTTTATTCTCTGATTAATTTTGGAATCTCCTGTCATTGTTTAGAAATTAGACAAAAAATGTCACAGCAGTGATGCATCTGCCTCTTAACACTAAGAGGTAGTGAAATCAAATGTATCGTAAAGTTACCCATAGCCAGACAGAATGGGAAACATCAGCCTAGTATGGTGACTATTCTTGGGAAGTCAAAAAACCCAGATTGAAAAATGTCCATCACACTTGCGATTAGCAGGTTATACAGAAGAGTCTGACCAAATCAGAGCAGGCATGCGAAATTCATGTGTATGAGATTTTGTTCGTATCCGTGGAAATTTGATTAAAAGAAAAATTTTACGTAAAAATTTTGCTTCAAATTTCTTTTTGAACGCATTAATGTGTTTTACTATATAGTATAGTGCGTTCAAAATGAAATTTTATGAACATTTTAACGCGTGAACTGAAAAAAAGATTCGACCAAATTTCCGTTTGATCAAATTTCCGTCTATCAATTTACCGCCGACGAAATTTCTTTAGATCAAATTTCAGGTAACCGATTTTTTGCAAATCAGCTGTCATCAAACCATTGCTTAAGAAGCCCGGTCTGGATGAAAATAATTTAAAAAACTATAGACCTGTATCTAACTTATCATTTTTATCTAAAGTTATTGAAAAACTAGTCCTAAAACAACTTTTTGCTTACTTAAATGATCACTCTCTTCTCAGTTCTAATCAGTCGGCCTATAGACATTTCCATAGCACGGAGACAGCTCTCTTGAGAGTCAGTAATGACCTCTTGCGCGCAATGGACAGCGGTAATGTCTCCATTTTGATCCTCTTAGACCTCAGTGCGGCCTTTGACACTGTTGACCATGAAATCCTTTTCAAAACCCTTGAAAACTACTTTGGAATTTCTGGTTCGGTTTTGGCTTGGTTTAGGTCCTACCTCTCCGATAGAACGCAAATGGTCTCTGTCGATGGCTGTCTCTCCGGCAGTGCTGATTTGGTGTACGGAGTGCCACAGGGGTCCGTTTTGGGTCCGGTTCTATTCATAATGTATACCAGACCACTACTCCTCTTGCTCGGGAGGCATGCTGTTGAGAACCAGTCATTTGCAGATGATACGCAGCTATACATGCATACCCATCCATCTCTTGTCGATTCCGCTGTCCAGACTTTGCGGGGATGCATTGATGATGTCAAGTCTTGGATGACACTCAGCAAGTTGAAGCTTAATGATGACAAAACAGAAGCACTCCTCATTTACAATCACAAATCATCCTCTACCTCAACTCTTCCCACCTCATTTCAAGTAGGTAACTCCGACATACAGTTTACACCCTCTGCTAGGAATCTTGGTTATATTCTTTCTAACAACATGTCTCTCGATAAACATATCTCTCACATTTGTCGTTCAGCATACACCGCCATCCGTCAGATCAGCTCCATCCGCCACTACCTGACAGTTAGCGCAACAAAAACTCTAGTCTGTGCTCTTGTTCTCTCTCGTCTTGACTATTGCAACTCACTTCTGTCAGGTTCACCGAAACATTTTATAGAAAAACTGCAGAAAGTTCAAAACTCTGCTGCTAGGCTTGTTCTTAAGGCAAAAAAACGCGATCACGTCACTCCACTACTCCACTCACTACATTGGCTCCCTATACAGGCACGCATTGACTACAAGCTGTCTCTTCTCTGTCACAACTTTTTCTCGGATTCCTGCCCTTCCTATCTAACTGAACTTCTTTCTGTCTATTCACCCCTTCGACAACTTCGCTCCTCCGCAGACTCGCGTATTCTGTCCGTTCCCAAGACACGCACTAAATTATATGGTGAACGATCTTTCTCTTTCTGCGCCCCCAAACAATGGAATTCTTTGCCACTACACATCCGCAATATAACAACCACACAGGCCTTCAAAACTGCACTCAAAACACATCTATTTAAACTATACTACTCTGACTGATTCTCCTCCTATAAACCGATAAACGTACATGGGTTTCCTTGTAAAAATGTCTGGTGTGGGTGGATGAATAGACCTATGGTGTTGTTTTGCTTATATGTTGTTTTTATTTCATTTATGTATTTTATTTTAATATTATGATTATGCCTCTTTGCTATATATGTACAGCGCGGTGAGCCCAGCCCTAGGCCGGGGTACCGCGCTATATAAGACCACTTATTATTATTATTATTATTTATTTGTGCAACTGTTTCCAAAAAAGTGAGACGGTTATAAAACAAAAACCACAGAAGCTAACTTTTCTTGAACTAAATGACAGACCTCTGATTAGTATTTATGATAAGATAAGATTCTTTTTTTTTATCCAAAAAATGTAAAAGTGTTTTGATTACATTGTACATAAATTAATCTTTTCAGTCTTTATAGTCTGTGAAAAGAAATTTTACAAAATATGTAGACCAACTTACATTGATTCAAGTGACCCAGATATAATACGATGGAAATCATCAATGACCACTTTCTCTAACTTAATGACCACCTGAAGAATCATTTTGATATAGTTCATGTAACAAAGGTATATTTGGATGGAAATCATCAATTGATCACTTTCTCCAACTAAATGACCAACTTAAGATTAGTTTTTGCATAGACCAACTTACATTGATTCATGTAACCCTGCTATGTTGAGATGGAAATCATCAATAACCACATGAGCATCTTGCATGTCCTCTCGTTCTCCTTGTCTGTCAGCAACATAACCTTTTAAACTGAAAGCTGTATAAGCAGATTTTTAAAATTAAGGATAGCAAATAATATTTGTTCAAGTTTTTAGTGTAATCTTTGCATGGAATTCTTCCATGCACTTTCTAACTACACAGTAGAACAAAAATAAGAAAAAAACGTTGCTTGCTGGGAAATTTAACATGTATAACTTGGGAAGGTTATTACATTGTGTGACTGATGTCAGGAGACTTCAAGTCACTTTAATAATCCACATGTAGTCAGAGTCTAAATTAGAGAACTGAAACATTTTGTCAAAGGGGAAATAGAGTTTTACATCTTTTTACATGATTAAATAAAAGTTTCAACCAGTTTTAAAGTTAGGTTAATGTAGTTTTCCTAAAATTCATTGAAAATGTGGAAGAGATTTCCATGTTGAGAATGGTAGAATCTCACCTTACTTTAAAATGGAGATAGAAAGGTAAAACAGTTCTAACTTTTACTGATGTTGCACTATGGTTTTATATTTAAAAAAAAATTAGATTACATTGTCATAGTTCTGTGTAGTTTCATCACTCATTCAACTTAAAATTTAAGCAGGAACACTACAATCATATTTTTACTTCAGAGTCTTGAATTTAACAAGACTAGTCAACACTGAGGTAACCTTTTTAACTATATTAAAAATGCCATAATTTCTTATGAATTACAAATGAGATACATATTTGTAAAAACAAATCCACACTAACCAAAATCGTGAGTTTCAGTGTACTTTCTCTGTTTTTCTCTGAGGTCGTTATATTCTGTTTCCTCTTGAGATTTCCGTTTGTCACCCTTTTTCTCAATAACTAAATTGGAGGTTTGTGATGTAACTGTTTCTTCGGACTTTAGTAATGTTGGCTGAACTAAAACATTGGAATACATCAACATTATATATCAGAAAACAGGCTATTACTAACACCTTTTTATTATTAAAAAAATAAATTTCTTCGGCTACCATTTCTTCAACAAACTTCTAAGATATAATTATAACAATTTAAGAAATAATAACCAGCAGTATAATAATTGACATTTATTTTTTTTACAAAATCTTTTGCTGCCCTCGCGGATACTAATCTCAGCAAAGTGCTATTTTTAAATTTAATTTTGTTTTTCTGTAGTTTGTGCTCTGACTCTGACAAACTTACAAAGGCTTCTTGCCGACATGTTCATCTTTGTGTTTTTGCTTTCCTTTTTTTCAGATTTTATCATACTTTGTTTTACTCATTTCCTATAATTACTATTAATATAACATTAATGCTAAGGCCTAAGGTACTGAACTTAAAGGCGGACTAAGGCATCTACATTTTAATAATTTAAATTTAATAAACATCTGCCATCTGCTACCCTATATGTCGGTATGTAAAACCTAATTTATATATTATATAGGCATATAGGCTAAAAATAGTCAAAGTGAAACCAACAGCGGTGGCAGACAATTATTTGACGTGGTCAATTATTATTTTGGCCATTATTTTTTAAATCCTAGTTAAAATTAGCTTAGAGTTTAGATTAGACACGACTTCGACACGACAGTTTAGTGTAGAAGTTAAGTTAAGTAGTTGTAGTAGTCAGTTAAGTCAGTAGTGTAGAAGCCCAGGCCAGACGATTCATGATTAATTGAAAATTTGTAACATTGCTATACGGTAGGTCTAAAAACGATAAAGTAGTTAAGATTTGATTCTTATAAATGAGAAACCTTTAATATGATCGGGTTCGGGTAAATCCCCGAAAAGATCCATATTTCAAATTTGATTTTGGGAAATTGAGTAGAAATACAAAAGTTAGAAATACACGATTGTGTACACCAGGCTCTCTTAATTTTGGAAAATAAATTTTTGGTTGATGATATCGATACTGATACACTGATACTTCAAAATTGGGAGTTTATAATCTTTTTAGGCTCATCTACTTCATATCAGTTTTATCGCTATAATTTTATATTTGATTAAAATATTATTTTAAAAGGTTTTTTATGCAAATTTTATAATTTTCATGATCGTAAGATAAAATAAATTAGTATTATGCGATTATTTATTAACTCATTCTTTCGATACCTTTCGATTTAAAACTGAAAAGAATAATCTCCCTTGTGACCCACTAAACAGTTATAGCACGTTCATCGCGATTGGTTTGATCCTAGAAACAACTAATCAAAACAATCGTTGCAAACGATTCAGGTTAGATCAAGAAAGGGCAAGGTAGTGACCCATTTCAGAGTCCAACAAAAATAATGAATATACTATCGTATTATTGTTTCTATGTTCAGTGAGAACAGCTGATTCTCAAGCTAAGGAATGTAGAGGAAAGGGTATAGCATAACCATGTATTTGTCATCACCACAGCAATTGTGTTTGATCAGTGCTACATTTTTTATTGTTTTATCTTTATGTGAAAGTGTAGCAGCAGATTCGTTTACACCTGGATCTTTAGTATTAACTCAAGTGCAATCTAGCAGTGACAAAAAATTAGTTACTGGCACTGAAAATGAAGCCGAGAAAGCTATTATCAGTTTTAATATTTCATCGTGTGTTCTTAAAACAGGGGCAGGGGATAATGCCTTCATAAATTTAAAACCCCTATCAGGATTAGATGGGTTGACAAGGTAAGGATAAGTGTAAAAGGCCACTCAATAATTATAATAATAATTTCAAAAAATGTCAAGCAAAAAAAGCAATGTCATGTTAAAATTATTTATAACATATACTTATATATTTTGTATGTCTAGCCAGGTTAGACTAAGGCATCCATTATATTATTATATTCATTATACTATACTATATATAATATAGTAACAGTATCATCATGTCATGTCATAGCTCTCATACACAGGCAAATGCTCACTACTGTATTTGTTTGGACAGTTTGGTTACTGAGTTACTGTCTTGTTCTTAAATGAATTTTTTTAGACTTAAGTTTTTACTGCACAATAAATTGTATGCCTGCTTGTACAATACTTGACATAGTACATAGTATTACATAGGCCTATTCAATAAGTTATTTATTATAAATAGGCAAGACTGTGTCATCATAATGGTGTAGCTTCTGTATTATTGAAAATTTCTTGAATGGCTTATGGGGTCTATCCAGGAATGGCTGTCTCGGCTGCATTTCTTGCAGGAGAACCTTGACTGCTGGATACACAGCCTTCTGTGATGCTCTTTTTGTTGCAAGGGCTTTGTTTCACACATCTTCTGCCTGTTTGATTCCTACAGCAATAATCTCCCAATCACCAATTTCGATGTTAGCTTTCTTTGCAACTGTCCTTATAACTCAGTTGCAGCCTTCAAATAGGTCATGCCCCCTTTGCAAATTCTCAGTACAGCAGTTCCTTCTGAATACGGTCTTCCTCCATTCTCCTTGCATGGCCTAACCAGGGAAGGTGCCTCTTACTAAGAGTGGAGAATATGCTGCATATTTTGGGTTGTTCCACTACCTCTATGGTAGGCACTTTGTCCTGCCATTGAATGTGAAGAATGCACAGCAGACATTTTATACGTAAGCTTATTGAGTTTCCACTCATGACTGCTATATAGTGCTTGAGAAAATAGAAGCTAATATCTTAATCCGACACCCTCAGAGTTTTTATGAAGCTGTATTATAGTCGCAGTGTAGTTACAATAAGAAAACTAGCCCGATCACTGTAAATATTTTTTCAATTCTAAAATGAAAGGTGGTACTAATATTGTCAATAATATACGATAAGATGCTTTTATTGATCCAGATCAATGGAAAGTTGTTTCCATTACATTGAGTAATAAGCTAAAAATGAAATTAAAAAACACAACTCATATTTTCTGAAGTTCTTGAGCAACCCCTGGCATTTATTCAGATGACCCTTAGGGCACCCGACCCACAGGCTGAGAATCGCTGCCATAAGGGTTATAGCTAACAGCTGTATAGGCAAATTAAATAAAAGTGATAAACTTAAAACTGTGTTAGGGTAGTGATAACATACAAGTCTGAAGGGTAGTGATAACATACAAGTCTGAAGGGTAGTGATAACATAAAAGTCAAGCAGAGTGAAGATGTACAACAATGGAACATTAATAATGCATTTAAAATTGAATTTTTCACCAGGTACTCTGCAACATACAATGTGTCCATTAATAAACAGGAAGTCACATGGAACTATACTTACAATCCATGTACGCCTATAAGCCTTCCAACAGGCAACCCACATGCTAATAATTTGTTTGGTGACGGGTGTGTCAGTGTGACGGTGAGTACTCCATCATTATAGCGATTTCTTAGAAGTATTGTCTTGCTGTTTGGTTGAGTATAGCATAACAGGCACAGGGATTGGTGCTTCTGTCTTAGGAAATTCCCTTCAATAAGATGTATGTTTTAAATCTTTTATCTTTGGTTGCATGCAGCGCCAACATCATCTTTAGATTGGACCTAATAGGGAATTAAATGATAAAATACCATGTCCTTCAAAAGGAAAAGGGGCACCAAAATTTTCTTTTTACTGGTTCACCCTGGGTGGAACTTATTTATTTATCAAGGTGCGATATTTTCCGTCTTAGCACTGGGCGCTGCATTTCCTCGGCATGGCCCTGTTGGGATGGATCCAGTCAATTCCTCAAACATTAACAGCAGTTTAATCATCTCCCTTACCTTAGGTTTTTCCTACTGTACCAACTATAAGGGTGAGTACTTCTCCCTGTATCCACATGCAATAAACAGTACTTGTTATAAGGGTGGGTAATTTTCACGGTATCCACATGCAATAAATAGCCTGAGTTAAATGGCCTGAGACTCCAGACCAATGCAACCCAACAGACATTCTGCCAGATCCCTGGGGGAGATTATTGTGCTCATTGAAGAAACTTTATGTTTCAATGAATCGAATTTATGAATGTTATGTTGTTAACTGTTCATCAGGTCTTTTCCTATTCCCCAACCAGTAGTTCTCTAGAAATGTCTTTGACGGTGTGCTATATATGTTGAATGATTCTTATTGATTACGTGTGTTCGGTTTTTATCTTCAGAATATTGTCCAATCTCAAGACTAAGCCAGTTCTGGCGTAATAAAATGTCAGTGGCCCTTGGTGTTCTTCAGACTCACATTGTTAATCCATTCACCTGTTCGGCTTCTGCTGTAGCTGCATAAAAGCCTCGTTGATTGTTTGCCATGTGTTGGTTAATTGAAGCGTCTTCTCATAATTCAACTTCTGTGGATGAGTCCACCAAAGTAATAAAATGATAAGCCTGTCTGGACACAGCATACTACTGTGGCCATAAAGTGTACATATATTTATTTTTGTCACCTTAAAGGGGATAAGTGAAGCCACAATGTATTAGTTACTATTCACCATAACCTTATGGGGCGTCGTTGCAGCAGATACGCATGCCACTGTGGGTGCAGTAAAACTTCTGCCCTTGCGTAAGTCTGTTGGGGTAATAGTGGCCAAATTGTCATTCTGTCTGCATTGCTGGCCCACATATTCAAGGTCTGGTAGGGATTCGTTCTGTCTGTATTGCTGGCCCACATATTCAAGGTCTGGTAGGGATTCGTTCTGTCTGTATTGCTGGCCCAGATATTCAAGGTCTGGTAGGGATTCGTTCTGTCTGTATTGCTGGCCCAGATATTCAAGGTCTGGTAGGGATTCGTTCTGTCTTTATTGCAGGCCCACATATTCAAGGTCTGGTAGGGATTCGTTCTGTCTTTATTGCAGGCTCACATATTCAAGGTCTGGTAGGGATTCGTTCTGTCTTTATTGCTGGCCCACATATTCAAGGTCTGGTAGGGATTCGTTCTGTCTTTATTGCAGGCTCACATATTCAAGGTCTGGTAGGGATTCGTTCTGTCTTTATTGCTGGCCCAGATATTCAAGGTCTGGTAGGGATTCGTTCTGTCTTTATTGCTGGCCCACATATTCAAGGTCTGGTAGGGATTCGTTCTGTCTTTATTGCAGGCTCACATATTCAAGGTCTGGTAGGGATTCGTTCTGTCTTTATTGCTGGCCCAGATATTCAAGGTCTGGTAGGGATTCGTTCTGTCTTTATTGCAGGCCCACATATTCAAGGTCTGGTAGGGATTCGTTCTGTCTTTATTGCAGGCTCACATATTCAAGGTCTGGTAGGGATTCGTTCTGTCTTTATTGCTGGCCCACATATTCAAGGTCTGGTAGGGATTCGTTCTGTCTTTATTGCAGGCTCACATATTCAAGGTCTGGTAGGGATTCGTTCTGTCTTTTCAAGGTCTGGTAGGGATTCGTTCTGTCTTTATTGCTGGCCCACAT